GAGTTCGATATCAGGTACTTTGAGACCCCTGCCGTTGATCTGTACAAAGCTTTTTGCAAGCATCACAGTTCTGAGACGGACCAATGTGTGAAATCCATGCGTATCAACCAAGCCAGCACGCCGGAGGCTGTGGTGCGAAGGTTGAAGGCCTGGTGTTTGCAGGGCTTGATGCCTACAGTTGAGGACAAGCATAGCCATGTGTTCTTGACGATGGTTCCGGTAGAGTCGGCGACTGGCACTGACGCCGAATTGGACGAACAGCTGGCCACGTTGACAGGCTAGGCAAATGTACAGGCATCGTGGCGTGTTCGAGCTGCGCATTTGTTTGGCACAGACAGCAGGTTGTAATGTGAAAAAAACGATTCAGCGTCTCCAGTGCCATGATGTCGGACCGACACTCTTGGTTGTGCCAACTGATTCTGTTGAGCCAAGGTCAGTGGGTTGAAGCCGTCATGTGTGAAGCATGGGTGTTTTTGTGTGGATGATGGCTCAAGAAGTGTGGTAATGATCTTGACAGACTGGCACGCATGTTACCATCACCTGTACCTGTGGGACTGATTTGGATCCATGGCCCCACACACATAGTTGCACCATCATGAGTGACACTGAACCCGAGGATGCGTTGGACGCGCAGCCATGGAGCCAGATGCCGAGGCTGACGCAGCCAGCTCGAGCAGCTCAAGCAGCTCAACCAGCAGTGACGAGGATGAAGCCGGCCAGCATGGAGGCAAAGGAATGGGTCGGACGAAACAACACGAGTGTGATAATCACGGGCCGTGCGTGCGAGTGGCAACGTTACGCGTAAATCATGCTTTCACGTGATGCTCGTCACCTGGAGATTCAAACACCCAGAAATTTCTGGGCGTTTTGGGTAATGGGTACGATTGGAGGAAAACTGGGCGTTCTAGTACGAACCGCTGGAAAACTTGTACGAAGGCCGGCATGTAAGGTGCTGCCGGCCGTTTGGAGGATATTTGAGCCAACAAGATCTGACATATATAGTTTCCTTTCTCGGTGCTTGCATTTCCCGTTGCAATCATGACCCTACATCGGTCCCCAATCAGGGCATGCTATTGAGCGGGCAGTGCTGCTTTTCACCGGGCACTCCACGCAAACAAACCCAATTGACCCATTTTTTGGGATTTGCGCTCGTTTGCGGTATTTTGCGGGTGTGCGGCCAAAAGTGGTACGAACAAAGGGCATTTCTCACCCAAAGCATGTTTAGACTAAACTTGCTCCGATTTGCGCACCACTCCCCCGCACAGCTAGGATTGAAGGGTGTTGATGGAGGGAAGGATTTGAAGGGTTGTCGAGTTTGAAAGTTTCAGAAGATTCGAAAATCAGGTCTAGTGGGCAACATCAAGCTGAATGAGAGAGAAAGACCTGTGCAAGAAGGAAACGCCCAATAATTCCAATTTCTAGGTGTCTTAGTCGTTTTGAGGTATACGAAACAGCAAATGCAATACAATGACCAAACCACCTACTGGTTTCTAGTCGTTTGAAGCTGCAGGCAGTTTTCTTGCGGCAATTGCTGCCCGAGGACATCGAACCGCGAATCAAACGGAAAAACACAAAGTGAAACGGAAATCTGAAAAAAAAGTAAAAAAACCTGACGATCAGTAGGGGATCAGTCGGAACCCCAATCCCAGAGCAAAATCATGGTGCACCAGCCTCCAGAACACGGTAGATCAGGCTTCCAGTCGGGGATTCCCAGTCTTTTTTGGCACGAAACATGGTCCGCGACAGATCCCCTACTGATCGTCAGGTTTTTTTACTTTTTTTTTCAAATTTCCGTTTCATTTTGTGTTTTTCCGTTTGATTCGTGGTTCGGTGTCCTCGGGCAGCAATTGTCAAATTCCTTTATCCAGACTGGCACGGTATGGGCACCACGACCCCCCCCCCCCGAACCATGGTCCGCGACAGATCCCCTACTGATCGTCAGGTTTTTACGTGTTTTTTTCAATTTTCCGTTTCATTTTGTGTTTTTTCCATTTGATCCGTGTTTTGATGTCCTCGGGCAGCATTTGTCGAATTCCTTTATCCAGACTGGTACGGTATGGGCACCACAACCCCCCCGAATGTTTCCCGACAGGTCCGCGACAGGTCCGCGAAGGTCCGCGACGGGTCCGCGACGGGTCCGCGACGACAGGTCCGCGACAGGTCCGCGACAGGTCCGCGACGGGTCCGCGACGGGTCCGCGACGGGTCCGCGACAGGTCCGCGACAGGTCCGCGACGGGTCCGCGACGGGTCCGCGACAGGTCCGCGACAGGTCCGCGACGGGTCCGCGGGTCCGCGACAGGTCCGCGACAGGTCCGCGACAGGTCCGCGACAGGTCCGCGACGGGTCCGCGACAGGTCCGCGACGACTGGTCCCCAACTGGTGTCTGACTTGGCGGTTCGATTCCACCCTTGCCACATGAATGGTTGCGCCAGGCGATGCCAGATTCCGTGTGGACGACATGTTTGCGGACTGCGACATTGGTGGGCAGACCAAAGCGAGAGCCACTGGCAAGCTGAAGAGGAAACGGGCGCCGTCTGGCGCGGGGCAGGCTTTGTCGCCCAATATGGTTGAATCCTTCCGCTGGAACTTTTGGCTGGTAGAGCAGTGCGAGGCAAACTACGGTCAGGCGGCCGTGTCCACCCTGCTGCGAAACACACACAACGCGGTTTGGATGTCGCAATACAGTGACCAGGCAGTTTTGATTGATGATTTGTTTGTTCCCTCTTTTTTGTCGCTTTGCTTGGTTGTTCTTATTGATTTCAACCGACAGCCAGCCCCCTGCTCCCCCGTGTGTTTGTTCTTTGTCCAAGGTGGTATGGGGGGCATGGAGCACAGCAAGGCGATGCTTGAGGCAGCCGTGTCTGACCGAGCGCCAGATCTTTGCCCGGGTTGGGTCCGAGGAATCGTTGGCCATTCGGTTGACATCGACAAGAACTGCCAGCGAGTGCTGTGCTCAAATGAGGACGGCGCCCTGCATGTGTTCCCTGATTTGCTGCAGTTGCTGACGCTGGACGCGCGCGTGGCTGTGCTGAAAGTCATGGACACCTCGAGCCTGGAGTTGAAGCCGCTCATCGCCAAGTACAAGGCCATGCCCAAGATGCCCCAGCCGGTGCGTGGCAAGCAACGGGCTGCCGCGTGTAGTGATGCACCCGGCGATGCCCCGCAGACGAAGGATGATATCAAGAAGGTCATTAACCAACTGGGGAGCACTTTGCTGGACAAGCTCATGGCCCGCATGGATGCATTCGAGAACCTTTTTGTGGAGCAGGCGACTTGTTGCAAGCATCACTCGAAAAAGTGCGATGTGTTCCCGGCCGCTCTCTTGCAGACCGACAGCGAGCGTGTGGCACAGGTGACGGGGGTGGCAAAGCTGACGGACCCTTTGCTCATCTACATGGCCGGGACCTCTTGCCATGTCGCAGGTGCTGTCATTGGCGGGCAAGACTGTGCTTCCGTTTGCGGTGGAGTTGCAACTAATCCGGAGGAAGCGCCCACATGTGTACTTTCATGAGTGCACGAGAAACTTCAGGGCGTCAATCCTGGAGAAGTTTCTCCCTGGCTACCGGGTGCATTCAATGATCCAGCGGCCCACTGAGCGGGGGTTCCCGATCCAACGTACAAGGAGGTACACCGCGTGCATCAGGCTGGACATGGAGCTGGTCCGACCCATTGAGGAAATCAAGATCCTTGATAGGGCGCCTGATTTTGATGGGGGTCAGCTGCTTTGTGCCCCAGATGATGTGGCGCCTTGCGCTTGCAACTACAATTGTGTTCCCTTTATTTATTTTGCGGGGGGGGGGGGGTTGAGTGAATACAACATTCCACGGGTTCGCAGCCGCGCCGAGGTGGAAGCTGAGCGGAAACGTTTGTGCTCCCGCCAGATGCTGCAGGGCACGTTCTATGATCTGCTCCCGGCCTCGCTCAAAGCATCCTGGCGCGCGTGGCACTTGTGCTTTTCTCATGTCACAGAGTTGTGTCGCCCCGACTTTTCATTTGGTTTTGTTTTTGCTTTGTGTGGCAAATTCCGGCTAGATGAAGCTTCTTAGGTTTGTGAGGGGTAGCCCTTCTTTCACTTTACCTTACAGGGACTTGGATATCGGATAGACCGCGATTTAGTTGTGACTGACTGCTGACTCAGGTGAGGCTGGAACAGTACCACACCAATGAGCGGATTGCCAAGATGGTAAATAGTGGCCGGGAAGTCCTCATCAACTTGACACAGAACGTCGAGTTCAGCGGGCGCGCAGGGCATTTTGCTCCATGTTTGTTGACCAAGTCTGTGATTTGGTCAACGCAGCAAGGACGCCTGCTGCTTGCGCAAGAACTTCTTGCAGCGCAGGGCGTTCCCGTATTTGACCCCCAAGTGCAGGCGTCTGGTTTGCCAGTGGCCCCGGTCTGTGCCGATGTAGGTCAACATGCCTTGACACGCATGGCAGGCAATGCGTTTCACGTAGCATGTGCAGGGTCTTTCGTAGGATTTGTGCTCTGCAACCTTCAGCCCGTTGGACCCATTGAAGACGACGGGCTGGGTGCCCCCGAAGACTGTTCAGATTAGACTGTTTGCGCAGGCTCCTTTTTGAAGCGCCAGCATTGCCCAGCGAACGACAGCGACCATCACATGCATTGAAATGCCCATGCCTCCCCACTCCCCACAATAAGAACCCAAGAGTCACTCGTGGGTTGTGCTCGCGCTGGAGCTCCAGTGCATTGCCAGACAAGAATTGGCATTGACGGTGATACGCGGAATCGTGCAAAACTTGGTGAATCGAAATTTGCTCACCTTGATCCGAATTGTTGGCCTGACAGACGCATGGGTGCTGATGACCTGAATCAGTTTGAACTGGTGACATTTGAGTTGAGTTGAGATTATGAGACCGATTGCGATTGGCTCTAGCAGGGCGGGCAACTTGGACATGATGACATGGCTCTAGCAGGCGGACAAGGCAGAACTGGCATAGCAGCACCACATGCACTTGGAATCAGCGCTTGCCTTGCTGCCATGGCCATGGCTGCTCATGAGGCTCAGGATGAGCTTGTAGGAGCGGCGCCTGATGCTGAGGCATCAACAGGATCATGCGAGATCTGCAAGAAGCCGCTGACGAAGCAGGACCATTTTTTCTGTGAGTATTGTGTGGTCATTGTGTGGCTAAATGTTTATTGTTGAGTAATTGTTGACCCACTGGGCTCCACAAAAAGATCCTGAGTTGGTCGTCCAAGTTGGCTGTCAGGAGCAAGACCGTGCGGCCAGACTGCACCTTGCGAGGAACTTCTGTGTGGAGGACGGCTACGCCAAACGGGCCTTTGATGCCGCTTGCAAAACGCAGGGGACCATGGAGAGGATGACAGAAACTTACTTGTCCAAGGCCATCATTTTGAACTCTTCAGTCAAGTAAAGGTTCCAACAGTTACCTTTTTATTTCCAGGCCCAGGCCCTTTGTGCAGCTGGTCCCAACTGAGGAAATGAAGAAGAATGACCATGACGTGTGGATTCAGACGGTCCGTGCTTTCAGGGACAAGAAGGCCACGCAGGGAAAGGCCGCACAGTTTGACGTGCTTTCCCACGCGGTCTCGTTGAGGAAATCCAGGGTGGATATGCAGGAGGTGGTGATCAAGCCCATGCTGATGGGAGAGTTTCGGCACAAGAAGCAACTGGCTCCTCCTTTCAACCTCTCAGAAGCCGAAGCCCTGTCAGAATGGCACCGCCTTATAGGTGACCCCTCTGTGAACAAATCAGAGAAGGTGCTCTTCAATCCCAAGAGCCGCAAAGAAGAAACATTTACTCGGGTTCATGTGATTATGGAGGAGAACGAGAGGAGACAGCAAGTGCGGGCCCGTGATGAAACCACAACCCAGGAGGCATCGGCCAGACACCCCACAGCATCCTTTCGGCAAGCTGTTGCGGAACGATTTGCCCAAGAGGACTCGGCTTGGTTTTGCTTCTCAAGTTTCTATAGTTTCCATTTTTGTTTGCAATGTTGCCAGCGGGCCCCAGCGATGGCTCACTTACAGTTCCCCCCCAGGAACCACAGGCTGACGCAAGTTTCCTGACGGCCACAACAAGCGCTCCTCGATTGTCGCTTTCTTTCGATGATGATGGGGCTGTTCCTTTGCAACGAGTGGGTCGCAATCGGGGAGGTGGCGCCGGCGCATCCGCTGGATCAGGTGGGCACACGCCACAAGTCAAGAAAGGCGCCGCCTCAAAGGTTCCTGCCATTGTCAATGTGGAGCAGCTCGCTTTGCAAAAGGCCACTGGGTTCTTGCCAAGGGTCGAGGCCTGCATGAGCAACATGAAGGCTGCCTTGGAAAAGGGCATCCGGGCGCTTGACACGCCCCCCGGGCTGACTGAGACGCTCGGTTTTACTAGGCTGACTTTTTGACCGTTTGAACTATATATGTTCAGCCCATGTTGTTTCCAGTGCCATATATAGTGCCATGGTTGTGCACATAAGGAAGTTTTGCGCTATGGTGTCCGATGGCGTTGTGGAGGCAACCGTGACCGGTTGGCTCTTGAGCGGGGAGGACCCGCATCACCTCGGCCCGCGCAAGAGCCTTTACAAGTGTGCTTTTCAGTACGTGCAGAGACTTGTGCTGGTGCAGGCGATGATTGGTGAGGGGGCCATCGACTTCGACCTTCCTGGCATGCAGGTGCTGCAGAAGATGAAGCACTCGGGTGAGAAACGGCCCTTGCGCGACTTGGTGGTGTGCCTTGGCAGAGAAGTCGCTGCATGTTGTTGTTTTCTCACGCATTTCTATTTTGCGATGCGCAGTGGTGGATTTTGAAACTGCATGGGCATCAGCACGGTTTAGCGGGCGTGCCCAAGGTCCGCAGGTTACTTCGATGACTTGCCCCCTGATGATGATCTGGTGCCAGTGCGAGCACTGCTGGATTTGAATGCCTTTCTTATGAAAAGGGTCCCAAGCGCAGACGCTGGTGCTGACTACGACCCAAAGGCTTGCATCGAATCAGGCATGAGCCTTGCAAAGAAGCTGTTGGCCATTTATGCCACTGCTGTGAAGGCTTTGACCAAGGGAGGCAAAGACTACGCAAGCGCCGTGCAAACCACTTTGACGTCTGAACGGCTCCGGCATCAAAACCAGCAGGGTGCCGCCGCTGATCCACCCAAGGCCAAAACGCGATTGAGCAGCATGGCTTCCACGAGTGATCCCGCGGTGATCAAAATTCACCGTAACCTTGAAAAGCGGGCTCCGGTCAGCATTGTGAAGACCTTCGAGGATTTGGACCCAGCAAGTGCCCGAGGGAGCAGACCATTCATCATCCGCAAGGGCAAGTGCCTCGATAGCCTTTAAATCAAATGTTTTTTGTCAGTTTTCATGATGTCGGACCCAGGGGTTGGCTTCATGTGTCAGTTGCCCGCAGATAGCCCGTTGTGTGCGTCAGGAACATCATGAAGACCTTGTTCAAGGAGGAGGCTAACAGAGAGCTGGTTGAGGGATTGATTGACAATTTCCGGGAGTCCATGTCTGAGCGGGCTCAAGCGAAAGGGCAGATCAAACTCGAAGAGGAGGCCTGCGCAATCGTCAGATCCGAGCTCTTGAGCGCTCTACCCGGGCCGTCGGAGTGGCCGTTTGTTCCGGAGGACATGTTCCAAACAGACGGCCCAGCCCAGCTGAGTGAGGAAGAGAGCAAGTACATTTGCGCGTTCTCTCAGGCAGCCTTTGTGCACGGACAACGGCACGGCAGCTGCTACCACGGAGTGGAGACATCATGCTTCGCCTCATTGCGTTTGCAGCGCCAAGGCGCCCGCGTGTTTGTCATGGTGAGACTGGCTGAGGCGAGGTCTTACCTGCAAAGGCAAGAGCTGGATCCGAGCGTCGAGGATGTGGTCAACTGGCTGCTCCGGCTGAGTTTGGAGGACCTCCCGTCGCCCACAGAGCTACCCAGCCTCACTTCCTCGACAAGCAAGTGCGGGGATCTGTTCTTTGCCCCGGCTGGATATGTGACGGTGGACAAAGCGTGCGTAGAGGATAACTATAGTCTGTCGGAGCCTCATGTGATTTGTGCGTGTGTGTCAAATGTGTGTCAACGGGCATGGTGTGGAACTGGCGATAAGTTTGCGATGCGGTGCATGTGGTGGAGGGTGAGATGTTTTTGTTTGTTTGCCAATGAGGCGAATACCGCTGGCCATATTTCCATGGTCCCTGCGACCATCTGTGAGCTTCTACGCTGAGTCAAATGCGACGCGTGGCTGCAGCTTTAAGCGTTGCAGTGTCAGACTCAGAGCTTCTGCTGTTCCTTGGGACGGTGGGGGTCAGTTTGGACTGAGGAAGCCTCATGTGGAAGCAGCTAGCTTAATTTGCGAATCAATGGCTCGCGAAGATGATGCCTCTGGTGATGAACCAGGCCCGTGGCTGAGGCTTGCAAACATGCGTCATGAGATTGCTGCTCTGATCAATGCCGACAGGTGACCAAGAAGACAAAGACCCAGCCGCAAAGGAGCCACTGCCCCTCCTTGACATCTCGCCTGACGCAAAGCGTAAGCAACAGATTCAAAAGATAGCTGCAGCAAACAGAAACAGCAACAGCGACAGCAGCAAGGCAAGTGCAGCTGGCCACACGCTGATGTTGGACCACCTGCATCCTCCACGCAATTTGGAAGACTGGTTTGCGCAAGATGGCACAGACATATCTGCTGAGCTGCAGCGAGCTGGGGACCACCTGCTCTTCAATGCCTACACGACCATTGCATTTGAGTCGGCTTCTGGAAATGGCAAATTGGATCCGGAGGACTTGGCCCTATTTGGTGACCCTGAAGGTGACCAGATCCAAGATTTAGAGGATTGGCTCCGATTCTTGAAGCGGCATCAGAAGGGTGAAGTGTCAGCAGCAGCAGCAGCAGCAGCGGCACCAGGAGAGCAGCAGTCGCACAAGCAGGCTGAGGCAAATCAGGATAAGGCGCAAGCGTCAGCAACCGGAGGCGCTGATCAGCAGAAGCAGCAGCAGCAGAAGCCGGCTGGGGAGGCCCAGAATGATGAGGCGCAACTGTCAGCAACAGGAGGCGTCGATCAGCAGCAGCAGCCGGCTGAGGAGGCGCCAGTGGTTGACAAGGCTACGGAGGCAAAGCCGCGGCATGATGAGGCAACAGGAGGCGCTGATCAGCAGCAGCAGCAGCCGGTTGAGGAGGCCCCGGCGGTTGAGAAGGCCGCGGAGGCAAAGGCGCAGGATGATGAGGCGCAACTGTCAGGAGGCGATCAGCAGCAGCAGCCGGTTGAGGAGGCCCCGGCGGTTGAGAAGGCCGCGGAGGCAAAGACACAGAATGATGAGGCGCAACCACCGCGAGCGCGTTCGCTGCCGGTTGAGTGGCGGCCCCGCGGCTCCCGCTGGGGATTTGTTGAACAAGGCCGCTGAAGAAAGACGCAGGATGATGAGCAAGGCAAACCAACAAGGGGAGGCGCTGAGGATGCTGCCGCCGGCTGAGTGAGTGGCTCCCGGCGGTGGTTGATGCTGCCGCTGGAAGCCAAAGACGCGGATGATGAGGCGTAACCAACAAGGAGGCGCTGAGGAGCGAAAGTGCTGCCGCTGGCTGATGAGGCCCTGGCGGTGTGGTCGATGCCGCTGGAAGCAAAGAGCAGCGATGATGAGGGCGCAACCAACAAGGAGGCGCTGAGGAGCGCAAGCCGCCGTTGAGGAGGCTCCTGGCGGTGGTTGATGCCGCCGCTGAAGCAAAAGACGGCGGGATGATGAGGCGTAAAATTGTTGCGGAGGCGGTGATCGCTGCCGGAGCGATGAGGCCCCGGCGGTTGAGAAGGCCGCGGAGGCAAAGGCGCAAAATAATAAGGCAACAGAAGGCGATCAGCAGCAGCAGCCGGTTGAGGAGCCCCCGGCGGTTGAGAAGGCCGCGGAGGCAAAGACACAGAAGGATGAGGCGCAACCAACAGGAGGCGCGGACCAGCAGCAGCAGCAGCAGTTGGGTGAGGAGGCCCCGGCGGCCCCGCCAAGGGTTGACAAGGCCGCAGAAGCAAACACGCAGGATGATGAGGCGACACAAGCCGCTGATCAGCAGTTGGGTGAGGAGGCCCCGGCGGCCCCACCAGGGGTTGACAATGATCAGCAGCAGCAGCATTTGGGTGAGGAGGAGGCCCCGGCGGCCACGCTAGTGGTTGACAAGGCCGCTGAAGCAAATACGCGTGACAATGAGCTGCAACAGCAGCAGCAGCACCAGTCGGCTGAGGAGGCCCCGGCGGCCCCACCAGTGGTTGACAAGGCCGCTGAAGCAAAGACGCGTGACGATGAGGCGCAACTGTCAGCAACAGGAGGCGCTGATCAGCAGCAGCAGCAGCAGCAAAAGCCGGCTGGGGAGGCCAAAAGGAAAGCCACGCCTGAGTGTGAGAGGCCAGCGAAGGCAGCTCGAGTTGAGGCGCAGACTGTTTCCTGGAAAGGGTGGGACCAATTCAAACGCCCCTTCCCCACCCCGGAGATTGTTGGGCGTGCCGCGCAGCCAAAGGCGCAGATGACCCAGTTGAGCCTGACAGCCTTCGCAACACAACCAGTCGCGCCCAATCCATCTCAATCATCGGGATCATCGGGCCAGGACAGAACAAAAAATGTTGTTGACACATTGTTGTTGACGCAGTAGTAGAATCGACAGTCAACATAGTGTTGTGCCCCGATCTCTTCTCGCGCCTGTCAGGAAGCTACAAGCACGCCGGCGCCTACTGCCAAGGCCAAGGCCAAGGCCAAGGGCAAGGGGAACATCAGCAGGTGGAGGCGGACGAGGCCGAGGAGGCCAGGGCCCAGGATGTTTGATTTGTAGCAAGTGCATAATAAGTGTTTGCCAGCGACCAACAGCGAGGCTGCTGCGGCCCTGGCGGCAGCGAAGAAGAGACCCAGGAAGAGGAAGTGATGCGGCAGGACGCTTTGTTTGGCTAATCAGAAGAGTGGCATTTGTTGATTGTTGCGCGTTCTGCAATGCAGTTGATGCGCTCAGTCAGCGTGGGATCGCTTGCGGTGGGAGGAGTGCTGGACTTTCTGATTCTGAGCTTTGCCCGAAGCCGAAGCATGATTGTCCTTGGAGGACCATCGCTGATAC